CATATGCTGCAGCAATCCCTTGAAAAGGCTATTTTTTTTGAAATCTTATTTGAGGTCTATTATATCAGATGAAAATCTGGTATCATACTGCTTGATAGCATGATCCCGATCTTGCTGAGGTTGGGATAAAACCCGAAACTAACTCACATTTTATACTACTCTACGGTGATGCTATTGCAATGAATACTAATAAAATAATAAACGCAAACCAAATTTTTTTTTGTATGGTATCAGGATATGGTCTAACAATTAATAAATCTCTAAGTAAAATATTTAATGAAGTTTTTTTATTATTGGCTATGTAGACTAGTACATATTCCATCTTACAAATATTTTTAATTTTTTATCATTTCTTATTCTTTAAGAACAATTTTTTAATTCTATATCCATTTATTCAAGTCTATCAAATATCTATCAATTAATTTTTATATGCAGATACTTGATCGGAATTCGAACCGAGTACCCCTCTCCTGCGCCACAACTCGCTGCATTCAACGAGTTGTAAATGAGTATCAATCTAATTCTGTAGTAATTATTTCCAGCATTAAAATACTTTACATTGGCAATGTGTCCAATAACAATGATAATTGATTTATCATGGTGCTAAAAATGATACATAGATTTTATCTTCGCAAGATGAATTTCATTGATTATCGTTCAACATATTTCAACAATAGGAAGAACGATTTATAATTATAATTTGGGTTTTTCCCATGTCCTAGTGGTTAGACCCATGGACTTCGAATCTATGAGGTTCCAGGTTCGGTACTCGCTTCGAGTAGCCGTGAAAACTTAGGAAAAAACTTTCATACATTGACACTTTTATGAAGAACGCGTTCTAAACATCATTCAGCTGAATGATCCTACCATAAGATATGGATGAATAATATAAATTTTCTTTTCTATCGAAACCATATTCAAATGATTTCTTTCACTATAGGTTTATTGTCGTGATCTTACAATCAACCACACTAGTTACTATCTGATAATGATAATGAAAAATATCTATTCATAAATAAAAATTTATCAATAAAAAAATGATTTGATACTTCTCCTAAACGGTTATTCGGATTTTAATAAATTTTTTTAGAGTTTGTCAACGGTAATTTTTAAGATTTAATGAACGATAAAACTATAGTAATATTGTAGAAATAAATGGCAAAAATTACAAAAAAAACACTTTTAATTATTTGACATTGAAAACATTTGAATTGCCATCTGCTAGATGACTATTCACTTAAAATTCGAATTTAGCTTAAATTATGAACCTAGATAATATTAGAATATAATATATAAGAAAAATGTAATGTCTGCATTATTATTGCCGAAGAGCAGCTAGAGATACAGTCAACAGTGTGTGTTTTTCAGATGATATTATATAATTCAGTTTAATAAATAACGCAACCATTCCAAAATTGCATATACATTATTTTTTTTAAATTTGTGCATGTTACATTTTGGTTTACTTTACTAAGTTATTTAACAATACAGAAAAATATTTTTCCTTATTCAAACAATGATTTAGGATTTTGTTTCATATGTCAAAAATTCATTTGTTTGGCATTGGATATGGACTATTTAGCAAGTTGATCTTACAATAAATTAGATTGAAGAGTGTTAATATGAACTAGATTTTACAAATTAAGTCACCTGAGATTTGAACATAAACAACAATGTTTATAAAATTATTAGTAAAAAAATGTACTTTAAAAATTATAATTGTCAAAAAGCAATCGTACAAAATTCTGAAAATTATATACTAAATTATTGAACCAATTGTGTTGTGTGGTAAAATCAAGTGTGATATTGTTCTTTTGCCGCAGATACTACTTTTTTTTTTAAATTTCTTATACTGCTTATAATAAGACCATAAATGAATCACAAAGACAGGACATCAAATAGAGTATTAAAAAGCATAGGATAGGATATTTTAAAAATTGGAACTCTTGAATTGTAGACGTGGTACAGACGTGGGACAACGTCTGTCGGGTCATCTAGTATATATATGTGTGTGTATATATGTGTGTGTGTGTATATAGATGATGCTCAGAAGTTTTACTTCTGTGGTTTTGTCTAAAGCGCAATGTCTTTTTATCTTTGTTTGACGTCGATCAGGGCCGAATTGTGTTGACGTGAAATTCTAAAGCAATACAAAATATATACTACTTCGAATGAAACTAGCATTTTATAATCTTGAGAGCGTACTTTACTTTATTATTATATAAATATTTATCCCACTGAGTCTTTTAAAAATTACAACTTTAGGCATTATCTATAAGCTTGACATTATACTTGATACATACATAAATGAACACAAATAATAAATAGTATAGAAATACGTATATTAAATATTAGCCTCTCGTAAATCAATATGAATTCATGCAAATAATAAGCAATTTAAATGTCGCAAAAATTCGCATAATTTATATATATATATATATATATATATATATATATATATATATATAAATCTTATCTACATCACTATAAATGTATTAATAGTTTCAAACAAATTTATCATCACACTATTTATTAGCATCCCGTGGGGTAAGTTATAGTGATTTTTAGAATAGTAAACCAAATCAAAAATGTTAATTTTTGCATATTATTACCTTTCTAAAGTTTGTGAGCATTTTGGCATACCTTAGAAAAATGGATGTGTATGTGTGTGTGTGTAGTATGTATGTATGCATATTCGGATACAGTTTTTCGTCCACGATTTCGAGAGTACAAGTCAACCGATTTAAAAAACATTCGATTTGTGTTAACGGAGAGACGTGATGATTAGTTTTGGCAAAGGTAGGTGAAGCCGTTTCGAAGTCACGGAGAAAAGAGTTCCAAAAGTGGTAATGCAGCTTTTTAAAAAATGGAGAACCCGATTTGATGATTCAAATAACATGTCATTTTTTGACAGACTAAAGTATTCATTAAATTTTTGGGAAAGCAGGTTTTAAATTTGATAAAAAATGTTTAAAAAAATGAGCTATTTGTCGGTCAAAAATCATCATTAGACATACGCACAACAAATTATCAGATATTTTATAGAAATTTTAACATTAAGTACAACTCGTGTTTACATGTCGATTGATTCGGTACCTAAATTTATTATGTTTAACCGTTGACAGCGATGCGGCGTTTACGCGCTTCGATATTTTATCACTAAAACAGCTACGCAACGCGATCAAATCAAAAAAATTCTTAATTTTCAAGATTTTCAAACTTATAATTCCCAAAACACGGTACGGGAAGTTCCACCAATTTGCTTTGATGCAAGATGCCGTGCACTACTAGTTCATTTTTTATTGATAATTATTTTTTATAAAATTTTGTAGATTAATTTATTGACTTGATAATTAATATCTATAGCATATGCTGTATGTTACATATAAATATACATATATGTACATAAATTGTTACATGTACATGTATTACTATAATACAAATTATAATTTAACTAGTGGAGTGTGTGGCATCGTGCCTTAAGGCAAATTGCTGGAATTTCCCGTACCGTAACGAAATGTTCGAGGAATACTGAATGTTTTCAAATAGATTATTATTAATATTGTAACATTGTCTAATATTTATAAGAATTATATAAACTGAATTTCAAAGTTAAAATTATTTGTTTAAGTTATATTAGAACTTTAGTCAGAATAAAAATAAAATCTGAATTAGTTTCGATATACAAAAAAAAACTAAAAAAAAAAATTAAAATATACAATTTTTTTTCCAAACTCAATTATTTTGTTGAGACAAGCAGAAAGTTCTTTGAATCATTTAAATCGGACGCTTAGTTTTCTCAAAAACTGCCATTTTTTACATATTTAGCTCCGTATCTTCGAAATGGCTGGGCCTGCTTTTGCCAAAAACTAATAAATACTTCTCCCAATCATTACTAATTGAATGTTTTTTTAGATAAATCAAATCGGATACTCCGTTCTCTCAAAAAGTCGATTTCTATTTTTTGCACAGCCAAAACGGCTGGACCTGCCTTCGCCAAAAACTAATCAGCTCTTTTTCCTATCAATAGGAATCGAATGTTTTTTGAAACACTGAAATCGGTTGATCCGTGCGCCCGAAAACGTGACTGGAAATTTGTATCCATACATACATACACATACACACACACATCCATTTTTTCTGAGGTATGCCAAAACGTTCAGAAACCTTCGAAACGCCGAGAAATGTAAAAATTTTCAATTTCGATTTTCGCCCCATTGCAATAACTTACCCTACGGAAAGTTAAAAAATATTATTTTACAAATTAAATATTTAATAAATCGTACGAATGCCTTCTTTACAAATAAAACAAACGCATATGAATTTTTCGATATATATGCATGTATATATTACCTTTGCAATCGCGAAAAACAGTTTGCACAAACGCTACCCATAAATTTTCTGGGCCTCCGCGGCCATTGCACCCGTCCGATGATGCAAAATCCGGTTCTGTCGCTGAAACACTTTCACCGCGATCGCTTTCATGCGAAACAGCATTGCGTGTTTCGTGTCGACAGCAAGAGTAACAAAATTACAAAAACATATGTACATAACGTATTAATATTTAAAATGGGACTCCTCACGATAATAAATAAACAACGATATAAAAATAATTAGACATCAAAGTGTTCACAGGTGCGAGTCAACTGTCAAGGTCTCATTGTTAGTAAAACCTGAATAAGGCAAAAGGTGATCTAAGCCGTTACCGTTAGTACGCTTACGGCTGCAGTCGATGTCGAAGCATCACAACATTCGAGCGCGTTGTCCACGTTGGGTATCGGCGGCGTTCGCATTTCGCATTGTGTCTCATGGCTTCGACGATAACAATTCACAATGTGACTACGGTGAAATAAACTGTGCTCCTTACTATTATATGTGACTATTATTATCATTTTAACAGTTTTTGACTAAAATTCAGATCATGACAGTATCATTAAATTCATCAACGCCGCCGTTAATGTCTATAAAATAGATACATAAATTCAAAATTAATAGAAAGTGGCAGTGAATAACACTCTAACCTCTTAAATAAATATAATTATTTTGTTGTGCGACTATAATGTGTAGTGTCTGAATTGTCATGTGATAATAAAATGCTGTAAACACTGTGACAATCAGATTTAATCACTTGTGTCGATACCATCTAACAGTGTTGGTTAGCAACGGCCGCTTCAAGAAGCGTAATAACGGCTATTAAGAAGGTTTATTTTTCAATGTGTGATAACGACCGCTGTTTGATAAATGATTAACGGTCGTTAACTGATAAGCCCCGTATATAAACGATCGTTGAGGTAATTTACGAGTCGTTATTACAACTACAATCCGTTAGTGAATTCTATTCATATATTTTCTTAATTTTAAATCATGGAAGAATATTTGACTAATTTGACTGAGACCTTATTGCGGCACGATGATCATGACCATGATCATGACCATGACCATGACCACGAAGATGACGGTGATGTGATGCTGGCTAAAGGGGTCGCTATGATAAGCCTTTTTACTTTATCTATGATCTGTGGAATAATACCTATGAAACTTAATAGCTGCTTAAAGTCTAAACAAAATGATAGCAAAGGCAAAAGATGCTCCAAGCAGCATCATGAAGACAGTTTAGAGCGAAGCGCGCCAGATGTAGAACAAAGAAAAATACAGGAGCCGACTACATTCAAGAAACCACGGATTGTTCAACTACTATTAAATTTTGGAGGTGGCGTCTTGATGGCAACAACATTTCTTCATTTACTACCAGAGGTTAAAGAAAATGTTGAAGCTCTTTCTGAAAATGGGCACATTCCGGAATTACCATTCCAATTGGCTGAATTACTTATGTGTTTTGGCTTTTTTATAATGTTTTTGATTGATGAATCAGTGCACGTGTATATACACCGTCGCGAACGTATAAATGCCGCTATGCATCGAGCAGGTGAAGATGAGAAACTTGAAGATATATTTAATCGCAATTTAAGCTTTCGTAAACGCGGAAAAGATAACTCATTCTGTCAACAGAGTACATGCACAAACATTGATCAAAATCTCAATGACAATTGCGGCGAGATTTGCGTTATTTCTGGTAAAAATGACGTAAAGGCACCGCCTAAGCATATTGACAAAGAGGATGCTTTGGTTAAGAATGTAAGAGGATTACTTATTGTTTTAGCATTAAGCGTTCACGAGCTATTTGAAGGATTGGCCGTTGGCTTATCAAGTTCTACTTCTAACGTATATTACTTATTTGGAGCAGTCAGCGCACATAAATTAGTAATCGCCTTTTGCATAGGAATCGAACTTGTGAGTTCGAATTTAAAAACTAAACTAGTAATAGCTTACATTTTCACCTTCGCCGTAGTAAGTCCTCTAGGCATAGGATTGGGGCTGGTGGTAAGCAGCAGCGCAGCGCAAGGATTGCCCACGACCATATTACAAGGTATGGCTTGCGGTACACTGTTATATGTAGTTTTCTTCGAAATTCTTCTACCAAGCGTGCAAGGAAAACATGAACATTCACATTTTGGGGATGCTACTCATAACCATCATCAAACGCCTGCTTATGATTATTATACATCACCCCCACCAAATTATTCTAGTAGTGACAACCTAGATTCTGCAGAATCATCACAATCTCACGAAACTTCAGAGGGAAATAATGAGATATACCGGAGGTATGAGGAAAATATCACAAATCAAGGCGATAAGAAAGAAGAGATGAAAGGAAGAGTTTTTGCATCAGCTCGAGTTCATACAGAAAATGAACACAAACATCACGATCACGATATGAGCGCATGGAGCGATTTCAGCGGATTACTGCAGTATATTGCAGTTTTGATTGGATTTTTGATCATGTTTGGATTGCAATTCGCAACTGGCCATCAACATTCACATGGGGACGGTGGACATGAACACAGTCATACGCACAACGGACATGAACATGAGCACTGATTGGCGAAGAAGGAAAACTAGGAAGGTTGAGACTTAATCAGCTGTGTGATGAGGCCGGAGGACGGTATTTAAGATGACATCAGTATTTTATTTATTATTAATGATATTACTATATGCTATTTGTAGTAGGTATATGCCATTTTGTATTTTAATTTTATGATAGAATTGATTTTTATTCCATAATTAATGATTGTTTATTTAGAACAACATGTATTATAGATGCTTCTATGTTAAGAATTTGTATAAATGTTATATCGTAATTTTTTTAAAAAAATATATTTATTTAGAAATAAATAAATTTAATTTCAATTGTCTGCAATGTACAAAAGAAAAAATGAAAACTTAATAAAATATTTTAAATAAAATTTTGAATAAAATTTGTTTTTTACTTAATTTTTTGTTTACTTAATTTTTTGTTTCTTAAAGTTTTAACTTTAAACATTAAAAACAGTAATTACTTCACTATATTATGCTAAAAATATATGTATTAATATCATATTAAAAAAAAATTATTGAATTAATATTACGAACATATAAATTATTAACTGAACCGATCATTAATTGGAAATAGAAGAGTAATTGGGAATAGAAGAGTCTTTGAAGAATACAGATTTCTTTCTTCTCTTGAGTTAAAATTATTTAAAAAAAGTAAATTGATTTCATACAATAAAATTTATTTAATAAAATAGAAGTGAATATAATATTAAAAACTGCGGAGTTTGAAATAACGTTATCGATTTTTCTGCTCGAATATGCACAATAAATATATAAATAGTTTGAAGGTTAAAAGAAGTAGGATCAAGATATAATATGAAATATAATGACTGTGAAATTCACGTATTACAATGTAATATGATAACATTAAAATAACTATGAAGATAATCTTTGGCCAGATTAACTGCTTAAGTATTTATGGCATAAAAACTTATAGATCAATTACCTAATATAGATAAACTTAATAAACCTTACCCCAAGGAGACGTTACAAATTCATTATTTTTTATCATATCATTAGATAAATAATCATAAAAATTAATTAAAATTGTTTAAAAAAATAACATTACATTTCTATATTTACGGTAACAAAAATGAATTAAAAGCATTCAAACTCGTGACATTATTTTCTAAAGCACTATTTATAGAGTTCCAAAATCATAGCAGCAGCTTATAAAAAGTAATTTTTTTGTTAGCAATTAAATATTGTTAAACTACTTGACATCAGGCCGTATGAGAAATCGTATCTGGACCTTCTGATTCAAAACCCATCGATCTAACCACATCTAGTCATCAAAACTTAATTAAAACCACATAAAATATTAATAACCTGTGAAAATATTAATTGATTTATCATAGGTATAGGTAGGTATGTTAAAATCATTGTTATTAAGATTTTTAGAAGTTTGAAATTTGTGGAACATTCATCATAAGAATCGTTTATCATCTACTTTTATTGCCAATATATTGCCAAATTACTTTCATTTTTGCTTATAATACTGAATAATAAAGGTAAGTATAACTTATGTAATAAAATTAGAAACTTTTACAATTCGAAATTTTCCTAGTTTTCAATTTTGCAAAGTGAAACTTTGAAAGCTTGTATCATTAATTTTGAAATATGAGTCTATGAAACGTGAAAATAGACCCAAAATCGGAACACTAATACTTCATTTGACACTTTACATTACTGTAATAATGATAAATAGTAAAACAAACATTTAATTTTTAAACAAACATTAAGAAAAACCATTAATTCGCACAATTTTGCAAACATATAACTAAACTTTAATTATTTTCATACATTTCTCGAATTATTCAAGCAATTATTAAAATTATATAATGATTAATAATTATAAGAAAATATTTCCTTGTTCAATAATCTTGAATTCAATTTTATAAAGAATTCTAACATTTAGAATGCACTCGTACATTTCAAACACAATCTGAAACAAACAATTATACAAAGTTGAATGATTTGTTTACTTTTTTCAATTATCTCGTATTAAGTGATGTGTTTACAGTTTCAGATGAAGAATTTATTTTGTTTGCACATTTAGAGATTTAATCCAAGAATGTGGCTTTTGTTATTTTCCAATTAGCTCAAGAATTTTATACCTATCCCAAGAAGTTATGCGCATAATCAAAATAATCTTATTTTGATGTGAATAGTGGAAGCACAAACATTTTATAAAAAGTAATTTGCGTAAAAATTTTTGTTATAACGACGGTTAGTCGTTAACTGAAAGTATACAGTAATTATAAACAACATCCTCGTGAAACAACCAAGTTTAACAAAAATAAAACCACTAACAAAATTTGTTTCAAAATTGGAAATATTTTTTTATATATCTCTACATTTTGAACATTTTTGGCATACCCTAAAAAAATATGTTTGGGTGCGTGTGTATGAGTATGTACATGTGCGTGTGTGTGTGGCGGATGCAATTTTCGTCGTCGATTTCGAGATCAACCGATTTAGATGATTCGACTAGTGGTGCATGACATCGTGCCTCAAGGCAAATTGCTGGACTTCTCATTCCGAAAATTAACATTTTTAAATTTTTTTTGTAATATCGGAAAAAATACATTTCTAAGAGTTTAAAATTTCTAATACATTTTATTCTTGAAATTGTCTTTCATATTTTTTAAGTATTTTTCAAAACAATTGCGCTGCGTAGCTGTTTTAGAGACGAAATATAAAGCGCGTAAGCGTCCCATCGCAATGTAACTGATAAATATTGGAACGAAACCCACAGAAATGTAAGCAAAGTTGATATTTATAAAATCTCTATAAAATATTCTATAATTTTATGTGATTTGATCATTTTTGACCGTCAATTTTTTTACTTTTCATTATTGGATCTTTGAAACCGCTTGACCTTCCATTTCAAAAATTTAATCAGTTTTTCATTTTGTCGATACGAATAAAATACTTTTTGAATTACGCAAACTGAACGCTCCGTTGTTTCAAAAACTGAATTTTTATTTTAGGAACTTTTTGCCCCGTACCTTTGAAATGGCTGGAACTGCCTTTGCCGAAAACAAATTAGCACGTCTTCTCATCAATAGGAGTTTAGCGGTCAAAAATGAATATCAGACAAATTATCATATATTTTGTAGATATTTTAATGATACAGATAAGTACAAATTTTGTTTATATTTTTATGGGTTCTGTGCCAAGGTTTCTAATTTTCCCAAAAGTTTTCTCAGTAAGTTACTGCATATATATATATATATATTTTTAAATAACGCAACTTATGGTTTATTTATACGTATGACGAGTATACACGTCAATCACAAACACTTCTCCATAACGAGTATATTTGTCAATCACAGTTAACTGGTTAATATTGGAAAAAATCATACATGCAAATGATTTTTATTTATGTAAGATATTACAATATTTAAGTGAACTTGAAGTATCAGAATTGAGTCATCATCTCAATGAACTTGCAAAAATATCTGACAATATAAACTGGTCAATAAAACATTTAAATATTGTAAATGAAATCACAATATTCCTTGAACCTGAATAGAAAAATAGAATAGAAAAGTGGAGAGAAAAATATAGCTCATAGAGAACAATATAGATTCCATATACACCATAAATAATTTTTATAAGTAATAAGTTTTTTATTAGTAAATATTAATACATGAAGGTTAAATAATCAGTAGAGTAAAAAAATCATTTCCAAAAGAATCAGTAAAACCTGACCATTGGACTTGGAGGTGGTCTGTTGTTGATTTCGTTCAATACTCCTTCCAGAATATTTTCAACAGTTGCGGAAACAACACCTGTGATCAATCCCTTGAAGATGCCTGTAACGACCACCGACGACGGGATTTACAAGCCAATCAGTCAAGGGATTTCCTTTGAAGCTGACGTTGATTTTTCTGAAAAAAGAAAATATATAATAACATTATTACTAAATTAAATTTGGAGTTTGATGAATTGAAAATAATTTAAAACGACTGATAATACTTAGGATATTAGGTTTCAATTAGAGTAGAGTAATTAACAATGTGATAATTTGTTCCTAACGAATGAAAAATATATTAGATAATTTTATCAGTATTAGTAAATAGATATTTAGTTATTGTATGTCGTATTTAGATTATTACAAATATACATATATTCAAAGGATTCAAAAATTTACAAGCAGAAACTAATATAAAATTTATGTTGTGTACATACATTGTATCAAAGTGGTACAAATATATTAGAAATATAAACTATCCTAATTACTAAATATAAAGTAAACATATGTATGTTAATGTATATATATATATATATATATATATATATATATATGTATGATTCTGAATTCTAATACCAATGATTATTAAATTTTCCAATTTAACACTAAGATCAACTAATTGTAAGTACTAATTACTATTTTATTTTTTTTCTTTTCACTCCAATTCAATTGTTTTAGTTTTTAATTTTATTTTTAGTTTCCACTGAATGAAGGCTAGGATTATAGCCGAAACGTATGGATTTAAAATAAATTTTTGAAAGAAATTCATGTTTTTTATTGATGTTATGCCCGATTATTAGACTTTGTTAATATATATATATATATATATATATATATATTAATATATACAATATAACAATTTTTTTTAATGAATGCCTAATGTAGAAAAAATTGGTTTTTATAGGTGAATAATGATTTTTTAATTTTGAAATGGTTAAAAAAGGTGTAAATATAAATAAAAAAAATTTTTGTGGCAAAAAGCAGCAGGCCTTAGTTTATAATGTACGATATTTATATATACGTATACACAGTGAATAAAATTGCATCAAGTTTTGTTGTGAAATTTCAGAAACTCATGCATTTTTTCATTATATATATATAGGGTAGCGCGAGGCTCAAAGGCCTGCGTGTAAAAAGGTCCATCACCGATATTTCAAAACTCAGTAAAGTTGAGAACTTTGTAACAAAAATATTTGAAAGTAGAGGGAAAAAAGTATAACCAATCATCACGATTATCATTATGATGTTACTATCGGGTGAAAAATGGCAACGTTTGATAATCTATAAAGTATTTTATTTCGTTGTTAGTTTTTTGGTA